TATTTCCAAATAAGGTCACATGTTGAGGTTTTGGGTGAACATGAATTTTTGGGAACATTATTCAAACCACTTCAGTAATCACTTCCATCATTCTTCATAATAATCATATGCCTTTATTTGTCTTTTTAGGTTATCCATGAAGTTATGTAAATGAAGATATAACATCTGGTATCATCATAAAATCATCTGAGGATCTCTGTGAAGTTTGTAACCAATACTTCATACTTTTATGATCAAAATTAGGTCAAATCAAAAACTGTTATTTGACTTACAAACAGCAAACACTAGAGATGTTAAATGATTAGCTGCCTTCATCTTCACTAGGTTATACAGCTTATTCTTTCAAAAATAGATCTTCTAAGTCAGAGATTTACTTTTATTTTTTGAACTTTTTTCTTTTTTTAAAATTGTAAGTTGATATTTTATAATTGTATAAATATATGAGGTAAAAAGTGATGTTATAGTTTATTAATATAGGGTAGGATAATTAAATCAAGCTAGTTAACGTATCTATCACCCACAAATGTATAATCACATCACAAATGTTTGTGATGAGAACATTTGAAATTTACCCTCTTAGCAATTTTGAAATGCACCACACTCTGTTATTAACTGTATTCACCATGCTGTGCAATAGAACTCAAAAAAAAGAAAACATGTTTCTCCTGTCTGAGATTTTTTACCCTTTGGCCCTGATCTCCATATCCCCCCCAACCCCCCGCCCTGCCCCAGCCTCTGTAACCACCATTCTACTCTTTGATTCTATCAGTTTGATTGTTTTAGATTCCACATATAAGTGAGAACATGTGGTATTTGTCTTTCTGTGCCTGACTTATTTCACTAAGCATAATGTTCTGCAGTTCCATCTATGTCATTGCAAATGTCAGAATTTCTTTTTTTTTTTAAGGGGCTGAAGAGTATTCCATTGTGTTTTTTTTTTTTTTGGCTTTTTGTCTTTTTCCGTGTCCGGCAACGGATCGCAACCCTCAGTGTTGCCCCCGTACCGGACTGGGGACCGGCCACGGGATCGCAACCCTCGGTGTTGCTTCCGCGCCTCGCTCAGCCAGTGAGCGGGAACTGGTCTGTATGTGGGATCCGAACCCTCAGGCGGGAGCGCCGCCGTGCTTCCCAAGCGGCGCACTATCCAGTGCGCCACCAGGCCGGCCCTCCATTGTGTTTATATACCACATTTTCTTTATTGTACACTTAGATTGATTCCATAATTTGGCTATTGTGGGTAGTGCTGTACTGAACATGGGAGGGCAGACATCTCTTCAACAAACTGATTCAAATCTTTTAGGTAAATACCCATAAGTGGGATTGCTGATCATATGGTAATTTAATTTTTAATTTTTTTTTTTTTTTGAGTCTGATCAGTATAGGATTGAACCCTCGACCTTGGTGTTATCAGCAGCACACTCTAACCAACTGAGCTAACTGGCCAGCCCCTATCTTTAATTTTTTGAGGAATCTCAATACTACTTTCTGTAATGGTTATATTGATTTACATTCCCACCAACAGTATGCAAGGGTTCTCTTTTCTCCAAATCCTTGCCACCACTTGTTATCTTTCATCTTTTTGATAAAAGCCATTCTGACAGGTATGAGATGATATCTCGTTGTGGTTTTAATTCGCATTTTCCTAATGATTGGCAATGTTAAACATTTTTTCATATATCTCTTGGCTATGTATGTCTTTTTTTCAGAAATGTCTTTATCCCTGGGATGCAAGGATGATTCAACATATGCAAATCAGTGAATGTGATACACCACACCAACAGAATGAAAGACAAAATCCATCTCAACCGATGCTGAAAAAGCACTCAAAATTCAACATCACCTCACAACAAAAACTGTCACCAAATTAGGTACAGAAGGAATGTACCACTTGACTCCAGAATGCCAGATAAAGGAAGAAAAAAAAAAAAAGGAAGGAATGTACATCAACACAATAAAGGCCATCTATGAGAAGCCCATTATAGTCAATGGAAAATTAAAGCCTTTCTCTAAGATCTGGAAAAAGAGAAGGATGCCCACCCTCACCAACCCCACTCAACAAGTATTGCAAGTCCTTGCCAGAGCAGTGAGACAAGAGAAGAAAATAAAAGGAATCCAAATAGGAAAGGAAGAAGTGAAATTGTCAGTGTTTGCTGATGACATGATCCTTATATAGAAAATACCAAAGACTCTGCCAAAAAGCTGTCAGAACAAACAAAAACAGTAAAGTTGCATGATGCAAAATCAAAACACAAAATTCAGTAGCATTTCTATACACCAACAATGAACTATCCAAAAAAGAAACCAAGAGAATAATCCCATTAACAACAGCTACAAACAAGCAAACAAACTTAGGAATAAATTTAACCAAGGAGGTGAAAGAACTGTACACTGAAAGCTATAAAATGTTGATGGAAGAAGTTGAAGAAGACACAAATAAATGGAAAGACATCCCATGTTTATGGATTGGAAGAATTAATATTGTTAAAATGTCCATACTACCCAAAGTGATCCACAGATTCAGTACAATCCCTATCAAAATCCCAACATCTTTTTTTTATAGAAATAGAAAAAAACAATATTAAAATTCATATAAAACCACAAGAAAACCCAAATACCAAGGTAATCATGAGCAAAGAGAACAAAGCTGGAAGTATCACACCACCCGACTTCAAACTATACCACAAAGCTATAGTAATTGAAACAGCATGGTATTGGCAAAAATCAATAGACATATCAATCAATGGAACAGAAGAGAGAGCCCAGAAATGAACCCACAAATGTATGGTCAACTGATTTTCTACAAAGGTGCCAAGAATACACAATGGGGAAAGGACAGTCTCTTCAATAAAAGGTGTTGGAGAAACTGAATTTTTCACATGCAGAAGAATGAAACTGGACTCTGATCTTACATTTGTATTCAAAAGTCAATCTGAAGTAGATCAAAAACTCAAACACTGAGAACAGAAACTCTAAAACTGCTAGAAGAAAATGGGAGAAACCACATGACATTGGACTGGACAATGAGTTTTTTGGATTTGACCCCCAAAATACAGGAAACAAAAGCAAAAATAGACAGATGGGACTACACCAAACTAAAAATCACAAAAAAGAAAACAATCAAGACAGAGTGCAGAGACAACCTACAAACTGGAAGAAAATATTTCAAACTCTGCACAGCCAAGGAAACAGTCAATAGTTTGCAGAGACAACCTACAGATTTGGAGAAAACATTTTCAAGCCATATATCTGATTAGGGGTCGACATCCAAAATATACAAAGAACTCAAACAACTCAATAGCATGAAAACAAAAAACCCATTTAAAAAATGGGCAGGGTTCAGATCTCAGGCTCTTCAAAAAAAAGAAAAAAATGGTTGTATACGTTATAGAGGAAAAAAAGGGGGGTGGAGGCCAAGGGACATTTCTACCGAAGTTTGAAAGTCATGAGTGTATTTTGGCAAGAACATGGTATCATGTGCAATCATGTTTTTGTAAATGATTTTTTGTAAAGCTGTCAGGTATATGTTAGAGTAATATTTCACCTGAGTGAAGATGTGTAAATCAATATATAAGTCACATAATCTATACTGACATTGTTAATCTAGAAGAAAATAATGGAATAGAGAATAGTAAGAGTAAGAAAATTTAATTTATACTTTCAAATGGGGCTTGTTCATTGGCATAATTTCCCAGTAAGTTGGTATAGATTACATGCTATTCGATAAAAGATAGCGACAATGAATTTTATTTCCCTCTTCAGTATTTGCTTTAAGAGAAAAATCCTGAAGCTTGTAGGGATTTCTGATGACAGGAAACCGTAGATGGGAGAGTATATTTAGCAACTAGGTTTACTTAGCTCACAGTAATTGGTGTATGTATAATTGTAATTTGCATGTCATTTACTTAAACTGATATTCTTGATCAGGTTGAGCATACTGTAAGAGATCTCTTTCCTCAAGAAATAAGATGGAGCGTGTCTTGGAGAATGGCTTCACTGAATTGGTATGTTAGCTTTCTCCAGATTTTGGTGATTTCTCCAGTTCTTCCATAATTCCTCAGTGCCCTGGCCATTTTCTGATAAGTCATGGTCTTCTGGTTGCCTTTTCTTTTCCCCCAAAGTTCGGCAGGTTTTTCTTTCTTTCTTTTTTTTTTTTATACACACTGAAAGATACCTTTGGTTTTATTTACCCACTGAATACAAGATGCCATCTCGGGATTACACAGGAATTCATGAAGATATTCAAACAGAGCTTCTTCCTGCCTTTTCCTCCCTTTTGCTAGAGAACAGTAAGTAGGCTGTACCAGCTGGTTTTCAGTTATGTTCTGCAGAGATTGATGAGTATTCCCCTCAAAATAGAAGTTTGCAGCACTGTTTATTACAGTTCTGCAATTATAGACAGGTTCCTCTGTAGGCGACACCCCATTGCATCTGGAATTTCCCGGGATATGAGGACAATGGTTGATATAAGTCAGAAATTTTTGTAATTTGGGGAGTACTGAAGATCTCCTGTCGAATGTTGCCTCAGTACTTCAAAAGTATCTTCAAATGCTTGACCCGTCTTGTCAACGCAAGTCATGCTTCTTTAAGAAATTGACGATTCTGTCCATCAGGGCCCAACCTAGTGTCCACTTGTAGAAGGTGGAAATAACCTACCCCTCCTCTGAAACACACATCTGAATTACTGCATGTTGGAGATTTACTAAGCTTTGAGACTCATTTGGGATGTTTGGTTTCCACATTAATTATCTGGAAGCTCATTCTTGTCACTGTAATAAAAGGGCTCTTTCAGCTAGAATTTTCAAATTTCTAATCTGTACATTTTCATGGTAATTTTTAAAAGGATAAGCTTCTAAAAAAAAGTTCATGGTGAAAAAAGTGAGCACTTGGAATTTGAGGTAGTATTTCAGGAGCTTCTCAGGTGTGTGGAGAGAACCTGGTTGGTTTCAAGTCTTGGATACACCATTTCCTGTTACAATTATCTCTAGTTCTATTTTCTTATCATGGGTAGGGATAATAATGGAACCCAGTTTTAGGGTTGTTGTGCACATTAAGGGGGTGGTTTCTGCAAAGCACCTAGAGCAGACCTGGTACCTGGTCAGTACCTAAAAAGTGCTAGCTATTATTTCAGTAGGAAATTTATTTCTCCCCAGGACTTGCAGGTGGAGGAGGTGTCATTATTGAAGGCAGTTTTCATCCTGTATGTTCAGGGGATGTATATTTTCTAGAGCACACGAGAACCCAGATTTATGTTTATGTTACTAATTTACTAATTTACAAGGTCATTAGAAAATATGTCTAGCTTATTACTTTCTTAAATAATATTTGGAGAAAATAGCATGCTCATGTGGCAGGCTTTAAGGTGTGGAAATATGTAATTTTTTTGTATGACTATGAAAAAAATTGTGCATACTCATTGTAGAAATTTTGAAAAGACAGAAAAGAATAAAAGTAAAAATGATCTATAATCTTTGGTGGGCTGTAAAATAAAATTTATGATTTTAGTGACTTAAATTTGGAGAACTGTTAATCATCTTCACCAAGGACCTAATATTTGGAGTAGTTAACTTTGGGTGTTGGAGCCAAAAGTTAAATTTTGGTAGAGTTACCTCAATCATTCATCGTGATGTGAATAATTATTTATTTGGCTGGGGGGTAGGGGAAGGGGCGGGGAATGGGGAGGCTGGCTGGTGCAGGGATTGAACCCTGGACTTTTTGTGTTATCAGCACCATGCTCTAACCAGCTGAGCTAACTAACTGGCCAGCCTGATATGAATAAATTTGAGCTACATTCCAGGAGCTGGGGTGTCCTTTCTCATCACAGGCACCTAACTGAGCGGGAGGGGAAACCCTACCTTCTCTAGGACGCCAGTGCCACCTCCTCCACTGGAAGGAGGAGGGAGGGAGACAGAGAGAGTCCGTTATCTAAAAAGACTAAATATCCCACAGGAGCTTCTCGAAAGATTAGGTCTTTGCCCCTAATGCCTTTGATCCTGATTTTGAAACCCATCAGAAGGGTTTCAGCGGCTAGCATTTGGGCTTCTCTTCTAGATTTTGTAATCCTCTAACTCTTAACACAATTCAGATTACCTATGTAGATCAAACGGGATAGAGCCTGTTATGTTTGGATCACTTATTTTTTTCCCAAAGTTTTTAAAATAGTTAAGACACTTTTCTTTTTGTAGTCATTAGTACTGTCAAGCCAGCCACTACTTCCCTGCCTTGTCAGGGATGTCAGGCACACCTTATACAGCCCATGGCCCACAGCCAGTTTCTGTTCTTCAGGAGAAACAGGTGGTAAAGGGAGAAAACTGGAAACAGGCCACTCTTAAAGGAATTTCTATTGTATTACAGTTTACTGAATATTTTTTTAATCTGCCAGATAATTTTAAAACAAGAAAGCTGCTCTTTATTTAAAGGCCTCTGTGGTTACTCTGACCCTTCCAGTTTGCCAAAAGCCCTGTAAACATAGACTCCTCCTGGACTGAGGTGCTGTTTTCTGGGCTTTTCCAGCTCCAAAGAGCTCCTCCTCCGCTTCTTTTCTCCTCCTGCTCCTGTTACCCAAGGCCCCACCTCCCTTTGCCTCAAGGCATCTCTCCACCAGTCTCTGATTGGTGCATAGCACAGCCTGGCCTTTTAGGGACTGTTGTCAGGCATTTAAAGTGATAAGGGAAAGCGTCCAGTTGCTGCTTTTATCAACCAATCAGGTATTTTCCTGACAGATCCCAAAATATTCTTGGGCCAATGGAGGGGGAAGCCCAAGCTGCCTCTGGGGCTCCTCTGAGAGGCAGAACGCCTTAAGTCGGAGCTGGAGGGGCGGGAGCTCAGTGGAGCCCTGGGCTGCTGCCAGCTCCGACCTGGCACTCGCTCGTCTGTGTCACCATCAGGATTTGTCTAGCGACGTGTTCCCTAACGGGGTGTGTTGGGGGGAGTCCTCTTCCCGACTATCAAAATGGTTATCAAAGTGTTTGTTGCCACATCTTCTGGGTCCATAGCGGTAGGTGTCTGATGGAATCGGTGGGGCTTTCTTCCTATATTATTTTCTGAATAACTCAGGGTTGGAAGTAGAAGGAGACTTAAATTTCTTTTTCGCCTGTAAGTCAATTGTGGCTCTGCAGTAAGCATGTGTGCGCTCTTAGCTTTCTGCACTTGTTCTGATGGTGCTGAAAAAGTGTGTAAACTGTGTAATACGGACAGCAGGTGTGAACGGGTATTCGAGCAAGGAGGCCTGTTTGATGCTAGAGTTTTTAACATGTGATTTGTGTCGCGTTGTGTTGCATATGTTATAAAATCATGGACCTTTTGGGGGGGAATTTCTGCAGTTCATTCTGCAAGACTAAGACTAAAAGTTGCAAATACATGACACTTTGTATAACACCAGAGCATATGGTGAACCAGATTGCTAAAACGATCCTGGGTGTAATTACTTGTATATGTGATGTAACCATACTGAAAGTGTAAAAGTTAGCATGTGTAATAGTATTATTTGAGGAAAATGATGTCACGATGACAAGAGCAAACGTTTCTAAGGCCACAGTTTTAAATGGTCCAGGAGTTCAGACTGCCCCAGAATAGGAACTAATAACAGACTGCCATAATATTGCTTTGTCTGATTTTCTTGAAACTACCCATCCCTCTAATTCTGGTCTTTACTCTGCAGAAAGACCTACCATAAGAAATAGGGGTAATGGTAATAGGGGCAGTCATTTCTCCTTGGAAATGATTCAGGCCTTGATTTTAGGCCTGAACCTGTAGTGTCTGTCTGGGACTGACGTATTGACCAGCATTTTACCAGATGTTAGGACTGCTGTGGAGAAAAAACAGTCTTATTAATCCCAGAGTTAGAAACCAGCAAGGGGGCTGTTTCCTTTTTTATCTAGTTCCTGGAGGATCTCAGGTTGCGGCTCAAATTTCAGCAGTTACTCAGCCATAGATCATACCCTAAGCAAATTGCTGGCCAGAGTAACAGCCCAAAGGCAGCTACTGAGTGCCACCCCTCCCAGCCCTGAAAGTTAGCAAGGTTTCCAGGAAGGATGAGAAGAAAACAAGAGAAAATAGTTTGGTAATCCCTTCTGAGCACAGCAGATCAGTGATTGTTCTAGTGATCTCTAGAACAGGTTAACAGAAAAAGGTGAGTAAAAATTGCAAAAGCAAAACTGCAAAATCTCTCATGGCTGTTGGTGATTGCAGAAACTTTTAGTTGGTTAATAATGAGTACATTTTTTTTTTTTTTTGTCTTTTGTCTTTTTTCCGTGTCCGGCAACGGATCGCAACCCTCAGTGTTGCCCCCGCACCGGACCGGGGACCGGCAACGGGATCGCAAGCCTCGGCGTTGCTCCCGCGCCTCGCTCAGCCAGCGAGCGGGAGCCGGTCTGTATGTGGGATCCGAACCCTTGGACGGGAGCGCCGCCGCGCTTCCCAAGCGGCGGACTATCCAGTGCGCCACCGGGCCGGCCCGATAATGAGTACATTTTTGGATTATTTAGATAAAAAAATAATTTTTTGAGGAAAATGGATGTGGTGGGCTTTAAATATGTTGCTGATGCTTATTACTGAAAACTTTTACACTTCCCTGCCAATCCTCTATATATTCTGTAGACCAGGACTGTGTGGCCTTATGTTCTTTAGAAGACAATACATTTATAGGTTTCTTAGGTTTATTTGATATCCTACATTCTTGAAGTTTGGGAGCATAATTTAGTTAGCCATGGAGGACCTAGAAGTGCACAATTCATTCTAGGATTTTTGAAAAGCTAAGTTAATGCTGGTTCCCTAAGCAAATGTTTCAGTGCTACTGTAACTGTGTGACCTTGGGAAAGGTATTCATTCACCTTGCTAAGCCTCAATTTCCTTGTCTGTAAAATGAGGATAAGAATAGTACCTACCACATGGCCATGTCATGAGGACTTATGAAATAACATGCCTGGGTGCCCAGCATGGTGTCAGGTGCTTAATTAGAGCTCAAAAAATATTATGATTATTAGTTAACGTCATAATTACTAGCTACTGTTAGTTAATATTAGTTGTTGCTATAATTGTTATAATTATTAGCTAATGTTAATATTAGTATTGCAGTTATAATTATTAGTTACTACAATTATTAGCTAATATTACTTAGTAGATCTGGGCCTATAATCATTACAGGTTAGAAGAATTGTCCAAAACCACATAAATGAAAGAATTTCTGTCTTATCCTAAAGAGTGAAAACCGATTACTCCCACGGTATCAGTGCTAATGATTTTTCATAGGTGGGGAAATTTCACACAAAAGCTTCTTGCCAGGAAAAACCCCAGAGAAGCTTCTTGTGCTCATGCTGTGTGATGGTCAGTCTGCAAAGCCTTTACTACTTTTTTCTTCAGCCTATGTGTTTTAAAAATGTTTTCTTACCTGACACCTAGTCAATGTGGGCAGTTGGACTTCTGTTGGATGAATGAAATTAATGAAAAAGGAAAAATAAAGTATAATATCTTTGTGAGGAATTAAATACATGCAGCTATGTATTATATTTCTATTTTAACAGTTGGCTCTAAAGATCTGTGACACAGTCTACCATGTTCTGGAGGGGCCTGGATTAAGAGACCCTGGGGAAGAGGAGAAGGCATGTGTCTTCTCATAGGACCTTCCTCCCTTCCAGAAAGCCTTTGCACAGTGGGGGGGGGGGGGGGGAGGGGGGGA